AGAGAGAGAGAGAGAGAGAGAGAGAGAGAGAGAGAGAGAGAGAGAGAGAGAGAAGGAAACAGTACACCTTTCAGGTGACAAAGGAAAGCCCCAGTAACACACCTCCAGGAAACTCCTTTCTCTGACTAGGCCCCATCTTCTAGTTTCCATGACCTCCCAATCATTCTATCAAACTATGAATTTGTCAGCAGATCGAACCGTCAATAAGTTAAGAATCTGCCCAATAAAATCACTTCCCCAACACCCCTGAGCCCACAGCTAAGCCTTCAGCGGGAGTCTCCAGAAGACATTGCAGAGTCAAAGCGTGCGACACAGGTGTATTTCACTGTGTTTTTAAGGAAATACAAGGAAATTGAAGACTCTTTTTATTTAAAATAAGAAAAGAGCAAAACCAAAGTAAAATATTGGGGGGCATTAGTACTTGAAAATAAGATAGAGAATTCAGGTTGTCAAGTTGAGATCAATATATAGAACATCCAGTTCTGAAACGTATTTTAGCCAAAATATTTAGATATAAAATTGCATGCATTTTGTCAAATTATTAACAACTGATTTCCCTTTCTATTACATGTGGAAATGGAGCCAAAAATTAATTGGTGCCATGTGTGTGGCTTATGCAACCTGTCCTTTCTGTTTCACACCCCAAAGCTGGTTGTAATAAACCTATTTTGACTAAGTAATGCTCAAATCAATTATTAAATAATGATCAAAGAATGTACAAACAGGCTTAATTTCTAGCATTCTACAGATATGTATGTATGTATATGTTCTTTTTCTTCTTTTTCTAGTATCCTTTTTCAACAACCTCATTAACTCAGTCAGATATAGTGCAAAACAGATGGGCTCTGGTGCCACATATTGGCCACAGGAACCTGGTAATGGTATTCAGTCTTTCTGAAAGCAAGGATCATCCTCTACACATCAGGGAAAGAACATCTGCAAAGTAGTGTTGTTACCAGGATTTAGATGGAAAAGTCCTGACCAATTGAAAATGCTCTGTAATGTGCGGTGATTTTTATATTCCAGCTTTTAATGAGCTATCAGTAAAATTTTATAACTTTTATCTTGCCGTGCATTAGACATGGGACTATAAAGAGAAACTTTATCTCAAGTACCAGAGTTTATTTCTACTAATACAGTAAATGTATGTCCACTTGACAGGTTTTTTTTTTTATTGTTGTTGTTGTGTTTGTTTTTTCTTTTTCTTTTTCTCTAGATAGCATTGTACTGTGTAGTTCATGATAACTTCAAATTCATGGTCCTCCTAGCTTGGCCTCCAAACTAGCCTGGCACTCATGATCTTTCTGCCTCAATCAATCCCCAGCATCTGGGTTGCAAGCATACACCACCATGTCCTGCATCAATGAGACAAATGTGTACTGAGGTTCCAGTAGTCACACAAAGCATTCTTAGCGCTAGAGAAAGATTTGCAATAGAGATCCTGCCTTCCAAAAGGCATGTTGCTACTGGAATTAGGAAAGTCAAAGGCATTGGGACAATATATATTGTCTGCTAAGTTCTCCTTGACCTTTGGCCTCTAGGTCAAAATGTCTTGTGCCACTATTTCACCTCATCTGTAAGCCCTACGCCCAACCCAACAGTTCTTCATGTTTCTTTGGAGCCAGTATTGTTCTCTATGGCACTGAACTCCACCCGACACCAAATTTGTGCAGTTTATTAATCAACTGCTAAGTGTGTCCTCACTCCACACACAACCACTCAGAGATGACCATAACCCTATTCCTAGATTTCACCCAAATGTGTTTCCATAGAGTTCTATACAGGCGCAGCAAACTGACTAATGTTTGGAGATGATGGACGGGGTTTTTCATTACAGAGACACAGCTGCATGTGAATTCTGCTCTTAGAAGGCCTCCCATTGCATGAGTATGTGTTGGTACCATGCCCCTTTCACCATTCTGCTTGAACCTCTACCCACACAGTCCTATGCACTGCTAATTCTGAGTGTTTTGGTTTTGGTTATCTCTTAAAAAAAAAAAAACTGAGATTCTAGCAACTCTAGTCTTTGAGGCTACCTGGTCACCTGCTGCTTGTATTTTTCTGAATAATTCATTTCCTTTGCAACTGTCAACTCTAATATTAAGAATTTCTGTTTCTGTGTACAAATTGTAGAAGATAGAAAATCAGGG